CCGATGCCCCCCTCGAGGCGTCTGAGGGCTCCAAGGACAGCATCAACCAGCCTGGTGCGCTCGCCGAGGAGGCTACCTACATCAACCACAACTTCGCCAACCAGGTCGTTCTCGAGAACCAGAAGGTCGACATGGCCAAGGAGAACCCCTTCTACTCCGCCGAGGAGAAGGTCCCGGCTGCGTCCAAGGGCTACAAGTACCGCCGATTCGATCTTTCCACCAGCGACGAGGATCCCATGTACCTTGTTGTTCGTACCGAGGTGGATGCCGTTCAGAGGAACGCCATTAATGGTGACGACCAGTTCATCACCGTCCATGCGCTCAACGAGTTTGATAGCAAGGCTCAGGGCAGCGGCGGCGCTTTGGATTGGCGGACGAAGCTCGTTTCTCAGCGCGGTGCCGTTGTCGCCACTGAGATGAAGAACAACAGCTGCAAGCTCGCAAGATGGACCGTGCAGAGCATTCTGGCCAAGGCTGATGTTATGAAGCTTGGGTGAGTTTTTTTCTTTTGAGTGTATTTGAATCACTGCTAATCTTCATCTCTATAGTTTCGTCTCTCGTGTCAATCCCAAGAGCAACGACAAGCACGTCATCCTTGGCGTTGTTGGCTGGAAGCCTAAGGATTTCGCCAACCAGATGAACTTGCAGCTTTCCAACGGCTGGGGTATCGTCCGCACCATTGCCGACATGTGCTTGCATCAGGAAGAGGGCAAGTTCATCCTCGTCAAGGATCCCAACAAGAACATCCTCCGCCTGTATGCTCTCCCAGCTGGCAGCCTGGATGAGGATGATGAGGAGCCTGAGGTTCAAGTTCAGGAGGCGGAGGATTAAAAGTTTGTTTGTTTGAGAATATAATTAGGGGCGGGGCGGGGCATTTTTCGAAGCCAATTATGAGAGCGGACTTTATTTACGGATATATTTAGGGTCTCTCTCTCTCTCTCACTAGTCTCTTTCTGTCTCTGGCCAGGAGGGAGTAAACAGGTAGGTAAAAAAGGAGGGGATTAGAGAAAGGTTGCAAATAGCGGGACTCAAAATATCATGATATCAGCGCTACCTTGCTTTTGAATGGACTTTTGACTAGCTCATGAGTGGAAATTGAGTGGAGGTGTATATGTGTGAAATGTCCACTGATGTTGGTTACTTTGGGGGTTTTTTTTCTGGTTGTAGCAGAGCTTTTTTGGGCAGTGAGGCTTACCTACTTGTAAAACCTTGCGGGGTAATAAGCTTCAGAGCTGTTGTGTACTGTATATATGTATAATGTCCTTTGTAAAAAGGGGGGTGGGTAGTCTTGGGTTCCCAAGAAATGGGATGATCTCTTCTTTCTTTCAAAAAAAAAAGTTTAAGTGGTTGCACGTGATGACGCGCGAAGTGCAAGTGGCGTTGAGTTTCTTTTCGAGCGGCCCAAAAAAGCGTCCATTTCCACTTTTTTTTTTCGCGTTTTCCCGTTTTCCCTTGTTTCTTTATTTCGGCTCTCTGAAGAAGAAGAAAATCACCCGTCACGCACGACAAAAACTGTTCTATGTACATATCTATGTACCTACCTGGGGTAGATAGACAGTAAATAAAAGACATGGGCCATGGCGCCCGCAAAGTTAACGATGACGACGGCGAAGGCGAAGACGCCTCGCAAGACGACGACGACGACGCCGCGCAAGATTACACCAAAGAAGACCCCGTTAATTAACAAGACGAAGGCGAAGACGAAGCCGAGACCGAATGCTAGTATCTTAAATTACTTTAAGAAGGCAGCTGACGAGACGTTGTTTATTGGTGGTGAGGGAGGAGGAGGCAGGGTCAATGCGGACGATGAAATTCTTGAAGAGGTGGAGGAGGATATTTATGCAGCGTCGGGAGACGAGGCCGAGGGCGATGAGGAGAGTGTCACGCCAGTTGCGGTTGTTGAAAAGCGTCGGTTAAGTGGTGATGAGGGGTGCTTAAAGAGGAGGAAGTTGAGTAGTTCGAGTTCGAATCCAACATCCGAGTCGACGACGTTGAGGGATAAGGGGGGTGGTGAATTTATTCGGAGTGAAAGAAGGATATCGGCGACGACAACGACAAAAGGGAAGGATGAGACTATAATAACAAAAGGGAAAGACGAGAGGCCGATTAAATTGGATTTGTTGAAAGGAGGAGAAGAAAAGAAGCCTCCAGCGGTGGTAAACAATAGGAGGAAGAAGACGGCGAATCCGTTTTTGGATGATTCTTCTGATGAGGACGGGGAGGAGGAAGAGGAAGATATAATTAAAGGGAAAAAATCTGAGGAGGAGGACGACGAAGACTGGCCAGCAAGGGTGAGGAATAACGCCCTTTTCGAGGAAACAGTTAAAGATGACCCGGACAGCAAACTTACCAATTGGGATAATATAAGGATAATACAAGCACGACCACCACAAAAGAGCAGGGTGCCCCTTTTGAGGCATGAGACGTCTGGAGCAAGAGCAGCGACAGCAGAACAAGAAGAAGAAGAAGAAGCAGAAACGAAGCCAGACGACGACGAAGACGAGATCAAAGACAAAGACGAATTCGATTTTCCGGACCGGTTCGACGAGGAATATGACGAGGACTTTACGGGGGAAGAACTCGAGGCTATGCGGGCCATGGAGGAACAGGCACGATTAGAGGTAGAGGAATATTTGGAAGAGGACAATTGTGGGGAGAATAGTTGTCCTGTGTGCGGTGGCAGTTTGAATGAAATTACAGAGTCGGCGGCCACGGCGCACGTTAATTCTTGTTTGGACGGGAATCCGACGCCTTTACCAGCACCACCACCACCACCACCACGAGCGAAAGAGACACGTGTGATTGAGGATGAAATTGAAGAACTGGAAGAAGACGCAGTAGAGCTTCGTAAGGGGTTTGCGTCCAAGGCTGCTGTGGCAAGACCGGGACAGAGCAATCCCTTCATTCTCGAAGACGGCGGCGATGGTGGCGGTTCAGGGGGAGCATCAGCCTTTGCCAAGCTCATGTCTGGGCACGCTGAGGACTCGGCCTGGGTGACGGCAGCGTCGGCTGAACAGGCTTCGAGAGGAATGCCAGCGTACAAGAGGACATGTCCGTTCTACAAAATCATGCCTGGATTTTCTATCTGTGTCGACGCATTCCGGTATGGTGCTGTGGAAGGGTGCAAGGCTTATTTCCTCAGTCACTTTCACAGCGATCATTACATGGGATTGAGCGCTACTTGGACGTACGGGCCGATATATTGCAGCAAGGTGACGGGATCTCTGGTCAAATCACAGCTAAAAACGGCGGCAAAGTTTGTTGTTGAACTCGAGTTCGAGCAGACGGTGCCTGTTCCGGATATTCAAGGGGTAACTGTTACTATGATCCCTGCCAATCACTGCCCGGGTAGCTCGCTGTTTCTTTTCGAGAAAGTGACAGGAGGAAAGACTCAACGGATCCTTCACTGCGGCGACTTCCGAGCTTGTCCGGCACACGTCGAGCATCCACAACTGCGGCCGGAGACGGTCGATGCTATCTCTGGCAAAACGAGACAGCAAAAGATCGATGTCTGTTACCTTGACACTACCTACTTGAATCCTCGATACTCCTTTCCGCCACAGAGCGATGTCATTCGTTCCTGCGCTGAAATCTGCGCGTTGCTCAACAAAGGGCTCGTAGCCAACGACACCAGCGAGTGGGACTCCCTTTTACGTCGAAGGGAGGGTGGTGCTCCCAAAGGAGTCAGTAACGTCAGCAAGTTTTTTTCTACCTCTTTCTCTTCAGACAAACCCACTCCAGGCAATCCTGGTCCCGGTGGTTCCCCTCCCCCTCCAGACGCATTCACAGCCATCCGCCCAGAAACACGAAGAAACCGCCTCCTAGTGGTCTGCGGCACCTACAGCATCGGCAAAGAACGCATATGCGTCGCCATCGCCCAAGCCCTAAAGACCAAAATATTCGCCAACCCGGCCAAAATCCGCATGTGCAAACAGCTAGACGACCCGGAGCTGTCGGCGCTCATGACTTCGGACCCGCGCGAGGCCCAAGTGCACATGCAGATGCTCATGGAGCTCCGAGCAGACACGCTGGCCGAGTATCTGGAGGCGCACAGGTCCAACGGGTTCACCAAGGTGATTGGGTTCCGTCCTTCTGGGTGGAACTACAGACCCTCCAACGGGGCCAAGAATGCGCCTGCCAACTTGGCTCCGGGGAGCTTGCCAACTACACAGATATTGCACGGTCCCAACTGGAGGACTGAGTTCCGAGTCAAGGATATTTTACCCCAGAGGGGAGCGACGAGGGAGGCGATGTGTTTTGGGGTACCGTATAGTGAGCACAGTAGCTTTCGAGAGCTGGCCATGTTCTTGATGGCTTTGAGGGTGGAAAAGGTTGTTCCGACTGTTAATGTGGGTAGCGAGGCGAGCAGGAAGCGGATGAAGGGGTGGATCGATAAGTGGTTAGCTGAGAGGAGGAAAGGGGGACTTGTCAGGGCTTTGAAGGAAGGGGAGAAGGAGATGGTGAAGCTGTGGGAGGTTCATAAAGGGGATGGGGTCGGGAAGGGAGGTGGCGTTCATTGGTAAGGTCTTTCTCTCGGTATTTGCAGGGTAAATTGCACTATTTGCACGGTGTTTTTACATGGATTGTGTAAGGGAGAAGGTGGAAATGGGATGCTGTGCTGCGGAACATTACGACGAAATGAAAATCAGGGTTAAAAGGGGAAGGCAGTTGCCTCCCGAAACAAACAACTAACTGTTTGAATGAAGCAATGATCAGTATTTTTACTTCTTGATTTATTTATATGGGGGGTTTTTTTTTGGGGCAGAGAAGAGCGACTGTTGAAACAGAGGTAGCAGAAAAGGAGGTGGCTGCTGCCAACACAAACCAAAATACTTACTTTGAAGTCATCCCAATATCTCAGAGAGAAAAGCAACTTAGAACCCCTTTACATTCAAGAGGAAAGAAGCACACTCTAGAAACAAATTCTAAAAATAAAAATAAAAAATAAAAATAAATTCTCTTGGGACTGAATGTAGTTATGGCCCCAAAAAAGAAAGAAATGGGAACTGTGAGGCTCGAACTCACGACCTCAGGATTACTTCTGATGTTAAACCAGATCATATATTTTTTTTCTTTTCTTTCTAGAGAAGGAAGAACATTCATATGAGACCTGCGCTCTTCCAACTGAGCCAAGCTCCCTGGCTTTTTTTTTCGTTGGATATATATTCAACCTGTTACTTGCGGCTATGTAACAGAGTTTATTTAGTGGGAGTTCGAAATAAAGAAACATAAATAACAACATGATATGATGATTAGGAATAGGAGTTTGAATATTCTACTTTATGTTTTGGGGAACAGTTAAAAAAATAAAATAAAACGGGTTTGCACAAATTGTATTTGGTTCTTGCGGGGTCGGTTCAACAGGTTTACTGCAAATTCCGTTAAATAATAATTCTTTATCAGTCCACGTTGCTGTGTGGTTATGTCATGCATCTTCTTCCTCTGAACCCCCTTTCCTACACTCTCCCTCCCTCCCTTCCTTTCTTCCTCGTGGACCTCGCTCGCCCCCTCGAGAATTAAAACTTCTCCTTTTTCGTCTTTAAATTCTTGAAGAAAGAAAAAAAAAACCAACGCAATATTGCTGCTTCTCTCCTCTATTTCCCCCCTTGCACTAATTGATCTTTTTGTCTTTCTCCCTTCTTCATCCCTTCCCGACTCTAACTCACTTACTTAGCCTTGGCCGCCGCATTTGCAACCTCTGTTTTATCACAATATCAGCAAATCTCTCCTCTCTCACATCTTTGTACCCGGGGAAAGGGGAAAAAGAAAACTGACCTCTCCTAGTCGCGTCCTCCAACAACTGAACGTCCACAGAGTTTGACGGTAAATGGACATATCTCACGACCGAACCGCGGATAAAGACATTTTTGACGGCGCTCTAAAAAAGAAATATGAGTTTCATTGAGTACTTGTTTTATTGAGATGTTTATTTAAGAAAAAGACTCACAAGATGAGGATACTTGAGCTCATCAACAACCTGGATATTGTCGAGCTTGATGTTGAGGTACTGGTCCACGCTCTTGAGGACGCCGCGGATTCGGATGTCGTTCTTTAGCTCGACCGTGACCTCGTGGTCGATGAGCGTTTTGAAGAAGCTGTCGTCGTGTGTGTATATCACAGGTCAGTCTGTTGTACAAGTTATGAAAAAGGGGGTGAGTGTGAGGAGGGGTAAGGTATATAAAAACAAAAAAAGGTTGCTTGAAATAGGGTGTGGTGTCATGTCATGTCATTTTGCTCTTCCTTCTTTCCGTCGATCCATCCATCCATCTTATGGTGTAACATATAGAATCAACAATGTAATGGTTTCTCTTGCCCTTCTCATAAAAAATCCCCTCGTTGGTTTTGCAAGTTTGCAAGGTCTGAACTGATGATGGACCACACCTGAACGTTGATGATGAGAACACCACCACCACCACCACCAGACCAGTGAACACAAACCCCTTCCCCCCCCCCGCCAAGCAAAACCCAAAGCCAGCATCTTTGCCAACGAAACAAACGGATTCACTGACTGCACAGATAACAGAATTTCAACATACCTGAAAAACAACATTGTTGAAATTATAATTTATCGCGGCCCTTGGAATCAAGCCAAATTGCGCTAACCGGAAAGCCTTTTGTTGTTTTGCTTTTCTAATGTGAGAAATGTGACCTGTTGAAGCAGTAGCAGCAACAATGCTTGAGCTTGCTGAGAGCGACGAGGATGATGTGCTGGGGAACCTAACGGAACAAATGGACCCCACAATTTTCCAGCTTTGGTTGTCAGGTTGGCTGCCTTAAATCCAAGGCTGGAAGCCACAGGAAAATCGACCCGTCTCTTTTAAAACAGTTCGTGGTGGGTTGGGTGAGGAACCCTTTTGACAATCACGAATCACAGGTGACAGCAGTCCACCAAAAACTCCCCAAGCAAACTTTCAACCGATTTGGGAAAGAAACACAACCAGGGGGAAAGATAAGACAAAAAATCCCCGAGAGGCTACTTCATTCCGTTTTGGTGTATTTCATTGCACTGACCCCTCAGTGGTTGATCAAATCGGCTGGTTGCCGTCGGACGGGATCCTACTGAACTTACATGTATGTACTTCATCCAATCGACACACAGGGAACCTTGATTCAAATCGTTTCAATTCATATCCGGCGGCGGATTGGTCATTGAGAAATATCTAACATCCAGTCTTTTGTTTCTTTTTTTTTTCCAGGAAACACACCCACTCGATAGGTGACCAGACCATATCCAGACATATAAAACTAAGGGAAAAGAACAAAAGAAAAGAAAACACAGATCAATAAATAGATTACGCTGAAAAGAAAGAGCGCCACAAGACCAAAATCACAAATGGGGCCCTGGGTATGAGAGGGGGGTATCCATCGTATCCCATTCAAAATCCGTAATGCACAATCTTCCCTTCCCTTCCCATTTCCAGTCATGAAAAGTAAAAAGAATAAGCGCCGCCCATCCGCCCCGTTCCTGTCAAACCGTTCGCTCCCAAAACCTCAGTCCGCCCCATCAACCGACCCTGCTATGCTTTGTTTGCTTGTTGCTGTGAGGCAAAGTATATGTGTTATCCGAAAGTGAAAGAGTAGAAAAGGAACGTGTGTTTGCCTTCCGAAAAAGTCGCAAGTGCTGATGCTAGCGCTATGAACAACCATGAACAGAAAGCTAGAAATAAATTGTTGCCCAATCTGAGTTGAAGAAAAAAACATTCAGCCCACGACTTGCCAACTGACCCCAAAGACTCCTCGCCAAAGACTATACACGGTTCGCCAGCAACGATCCCAATGTCGATAAACAAGAGTAGGGTGTCTGTCATAACTTCATGACCCTTCAACATCAACAAACGAAATGGGGTATATAGAGTTCAAATGCATCGTTTTGGACGTTGTGTGCAAAAACAAGCCCCAAAAAAAACACTGCTCTCTACTCCCTTCATTCGTCGTCTTCGTCTTCGTCCTCAGGCGTCACGGCTACCCGCTTGGCCTTCTTGGATGCTGAAGCCGAAGCGCCATCAGATTTCCGTTTCGTCGCGCCTGTTGACGTCTTGGTAGAGGTAACCTCAGATCCGTCTGACTTGCCGTCGAGTTGTCCCTTCTTTTCCATCTGGGCTACCTCTTCGGCGGTCAAAAATCGCCCACCTGGGCCACGGGGACGGCGCATCGCGTGGTTATGTCTCGACTCGTGAAGGTAAGGTCTCCGGCCTTTGCTAGTAAGCCTGAGTTGTTCCTCCAGCCTCTGACGAGCGACTCTACGCTTGAGGATCCGGTGAAATTGCTTGGCATTGACATAGAGTGGTGATTCTTCAACAGCCCCCGAAGCAACTTCGGGAGAGGGCGGTGGTGGCATTTGTGGTGGCGGCATCTGCTGTGTAGCTGTCATCGGGGTTTGGACTGCCGCTCTCCCTCCGTTGTGATTCATCATGGTTGGCGGGTTCATCGTCGGCGCATTGGCAACAGCAGGACTGGCAACCTGACTCATCCGTCGCTGCGCAGAGATGTTGTTCATCTGCGGCGACCGAGGATCTTGGCCTGCCCTGACATCCTTCTTTGGGTTGACACCCCCCATCCTCGGAGACTGCTGTATGCTTGGGTCCGAAGACATGTAGGGATATGAAGAACCTGAAGCGGCAGCTGTTGCTGCCATGGCGGCTGCTTGGATCCCCGGCATGCCATAGTGGATGTTTTGTTGAGGTACGGCGTACTGTGCTTGATACATGTTGTGGCTCTGGGTTGGTGATTGTTGCTGATGTTGTGATGGAAGAATTGGTGAGGTTTGAACACCGTGCTGTGGAGAGGTGATGCTGTTTCCGCCTGTGGAGCTTGGGTAACCGGTTTGAATGTGTGGTTGTGAATGTGCACTCTGTTGTGGTTGTTGGTATTGCGCGTATTCCATCATCCTGTGGGGAATTTACCGACAAATCGTCAACACGAATCGCAAATAGTCGCGTTCGTGCAAATCAAGGTGAGTGTTTGGTTTAGCGCAAGTTGGTCGCAAAAAAAAGGGTAGGAAGTCTGTGATTGCTGCAGTACGATGTTGATTACCACTCAAAATCAATCCCAAGGATCTCAGGTCCGATGATAGAGATTAAAGGCCCTGATCTATTTGGGCTCGGTGGTGGGGATGGTCCCAAAGTCACTCTGTACCTGGCGAGTTGGGCTGGATGTACACCCAATCTATTGGAGTGATGCGTTGGCAGTTGATTGAATGGTAGCCGAACAGTGCAATTGGTCGCACCGCAGCATATGCAGGCTGATGTATCGCGGGGCAGAACTTGGGTGGCTCAGTTCAAGGATCAAGAGATGGCGTGGACCAGCGCAGCCACGTGAGGAAGGGCCGGAGGAAACAGTCTGAAGTTGCCCGGATAGCAACCTGATTCGCGCGTGGAATTTGCTTGATAGCCGAACGGCTCTGTGGGTAGAAAATCTCGTGGGAGAGGTTGCAGACGATTGTTGTGTCGTTCTTTCTTGCTTTGATCTTCCACAAATCGACTATCAAACGTCGTGTTAGTCTGTGGTCGCAAATGTATATAAGTCAAAACGCCAGGGTAAAAGAACTGGGGGAGGGCGCCCTTGAATGGTGGGTACCGTCTCGGTTTTTGGCGCCTTGGGCCAGTCAGTCTGATGCGCTGGCATGCATGACGGAATATGCACGAGCCAGGCCCACCACCTTGTCGACCAACTCAGCGGTCCAAACAAGGGTGTCAGCGCCGAGAAGGAGGGGATGATGCAGGAAAGAGAGCCGAGACGTGGAAAGCAGAGCCCACTGAGCATCTGAACAGGAGGGAAAGCCTGATGCCGTTTGTATTCGTACAGCCATGATGAGCACCAAATGCAAGGCTGCAGTCAGGCGGTTCGCTTGAAACCGCTCTTTTGTCTAGTTCGCCGTCGTCACCAGTATAGACGACGAAATCAGGAGGCTCAACCTTGCGTAACGAGAACTCCTTCTTGTGACTCCGGGTGGTCTACGAATCATTACACCAGTGTACCGTTGCAGGTAAAATCGACTTGAAGTGACCCCTGGACCAAAAGGAAAGAAAAGAAAAAGAAGAAGAAAAAAGGAACAAGGAAAAGATAGGCACACGTACCGTGTCTCGGAGTGCCACAAACAAGCTGGGCTTTGGTCAGCAAATTGTGCTGGCTGTGGTTGC